GCTAGGGAGGGGAGTATCTGTAGGACACAACAACCTGTTGGAAGCAAACTGGTTAGTATTGCAGATAAAGTTTGTACATGATTTAAAATATTTAATTCTTTAACAGTTTTTAAGATTTCCCTTTTCTGCTTAACTAGGATGTCACACTCTAGAAAATGGTCTCCCATATAATATATTGTATGGGCTTAACTTAAGCCTACTTCTGGGGGCAATCTGGATTCGTAACAGGGTAAGTAAAAGTGTTATTAAGATAAGTTGGTCTCTTGGCACATCTTAGCCAATGACTTCTTGAATGTGTGTTCCAACTTTTTTTTTCCTTCAGTTTTTCTTGTTAATAGGTTAGTCCTGTTACTTGTTGGACTTTTTGAGATGTAAATACTCCCTTATAATTACTTTCAACTGAGACTAGTAAACTAAACTGGGATAATTTTAATAGGGTTTACTCATCTCTGCTGCTTTTCCATGCTCAAGAGAAAGGTTTCCACCCATCCAGTGAAAGTATCTATAAATATTAACAGGTATTTGATTTTTCAGGAGTTATAAATTTTACCTGCCAGTCCTTGCATAGGCTCAGTCCTCTTGTTCGAATTCCTTTTATCACTGGAGGTGGACTGCACTTTGGATTGTTTCTGGCATAGGTCAAGTAGTGTACTGTAATCTTTTGGATGATTCTGTATAGATCAAGTCCTGTAATAAGTTTACTCAGCCAAGTATACAGGGTATCATTTCCCATAACAAGTGCTGGTTGTGGTGACAGTACTGTCAGTTGTTTCTGTAATTCATAGTAGTAGGTAATTGTAGGAGATTGTCTGTAAGGCCCATGCCTGATCTGGACTAACAACCACCTGGAGCTTATTAGCTGAGAAAGTAACCTGAGTATTTAACTGGGTCATTAAGTCTTATTCCAACAGAGGAACAGGGTCTTCAGGTATGTATAAAAGTTTCATGTCAATACAGTACTCCCAACCTGCCATTCAAGATGTTGAAGAATATTTTTATATTATTGAAACTCCAGAAATTTTAAAGTTTTCTGGCACAGAGGGGTCTTGGGGATGTTTAAGACTGAGGTTGCCCCTGTGTCCGGTAGAGATTTAATGGGCTGTTTTCCCACAGTTATCTCCACCCAAGCTCTTCATAGGAAAAAGGAATTTATTTAGTCTGCAACAGAGCCCCCAGGGCCCTGTCATCCTTGATTGCTGTTAGCTGTGTTTACCATTTGTTGGGCCCCTTTTGGTTGGGTTTGGAGAGTTCACTCTGGACACTCTCTCTTCCAGTGTTCATTTTCCCTGCAGTAAGTACACTGTTGAGGCTCCAATTTTGTTGGTTTGCCACCTGGAGCAGCAGTTTGGTCACTCCCTTTCTATCCGATGGAGGCCCATGGGGACTTACCTGGTCTGATTGACTTTGTGACAGTCCTCCCAGGACAGCAGCCAGCAAGGTAGTCTGTTGCTTCATGTCTCTTTGCTTCTGTGTCTCCTGCTCCTGGTCCTGGTTATTATAGACCTTGAAAGCAACCTCTACAGGTTGAGAAGTATTCATAGACAGCCCCCCTTCTAATTTTGGTATCTGGGTCAGTGTCAGTACATTGATGGTAAGTTTTATATACTTATTTGAGGAGTATAGAAGGATTTTTCTTGAGGTCTTGTTGTACTTCCTGAATTTTTGAATCTGCATTGGGATCCCTCTTCTGGAGCCCTATGACAATGTATTTTAATTTTGTTCTGTTCTCTAGGTTATTGGGATCTTACTCTGGTTCTGTTCCTGATGGCTGTGGCCCCTGGCTAGGTTTTCAGGCTGGAGTTTATGAAGTCTGTTGGTTTCTGTTTTAGTTTTCTCTAATACTATTCACCTTTTTTTCAGGATTAAGGCAGTTAATAACAGATGGTAGCATAGTGGCTAAGACACTTGCCGGCTAACCAGACAGCTGGTGGTTCAAACCCACCAGCCACTCCTCAGAAGGAAGGTTGGGCAATCCTACTTCCGTAGTGATACTGCCTCAGAAACCCAAGGAGGGGTCGCTATGAGTCGGGTTTGACTTCAACGGCACATAACAACAACAACAACAACAATATAAATCAGCCAAGGTGAATGGCACATGAGTCCAAACATAACCTTCAGCATTTCCTTCATGATCTAAACCTGCTGGAACCTGCTGTAATGGGTATTGCCTGATGGATCTGGCCTGGACCCCTGGCCAAATGTTACATTATTCTGAGTGTATGCTGAAGAGACCATTTTTTTCTGAGGGTCAGATTGGGAGGAACACAGTTAAGTAAGGGTCTGTAGAGTCCTTAAAGACACTCTTAAAATTCATTTTTTTTAGATATTATTCTTAATTGTAAATTCATTTACACAGAGAAGTCATTTGTAGTGATCTATTTACAATCTTTTCCAATTTTCATTTCCCCTAGCCAAATATATTTCATGTAATAATTAACATTTACTTGAACTCATCTGTGCTAGAAACTTGTCATGACATAGGGTTTTTGTCCACTTCACTTAACCCCTCTTAAAGACTATGATTTCACTGTTAAATTAATAGAAAGTATATTGTCAATGTAACATTTTGTGGTGAAAGATTCACAGTTTTTTTTTTCATCTTATGAATAAATTCACCATAACTGATCTAAAGTTATCAAAATTCTAACACACTTCATTGTTTCCTCACACTTATTTGTAGGTATTAAAAACTAAGGTAAATAAAATTCATTTTCTTTCAAACTTTCTACAACTTACTACACATTTTTCTTCACATTTATTATTTGCAGGTATTAGAAACCAAGGCAAATAAAGTTCACTTTCTCTTAAACCTTTTACAACTTACTACACATTTTCAAGTTTAACTTTTACTATTTTTCATGTTCTGGAATGACCAGACATTCTCCTTTAAGACAAAACTACTCTCTTTCCTCCGTCTTAAAACAAAACAAAACAAAACTTGTTACCAGTCATTTTACTTTCCCTCTTGCTTTTCAGGCCACTCTAAAACTTTCAACTTAGTTCTTAAGGTGGTTTTGTTCAGTAGTCTAGACTATACTAATTCATTTTATGTGTGTTCACCACCCCAAAATGTGATACTTTAATAATTATGATTTTCTTAATTGGCTCAAAAGCAGTTCAGATAAACACATAATCCAAAACACATAATCCTTTAAAGACATTGCAGGTTCATCTCTTCACCTTGATTACTGTTCCATTCTATGCATATGGCCTTGGGCTTTTGGTTGTGTGTAACCAAAAGACCTAGCCTCTGGATTAATTATCTCCTCATATCATAATAATGCAGTTTTTGTCAGTATATACTAATTATAAGGACACAAAACTTCTTGAGTAAGGGTTTCTATTAATGTTTTCACAAACGGTGTTGGCGCATAGGTAGCAGCAGCTTGTTTGAAATCTTTAAGAGTTTTAAAAGGAAATGCTTTATGTCCTCACATCAGTTGATTAGTTTGCTGCTTTATATATTCTGTTAGGGAAAAAACATGTTTTAATTCTAATGGAATGTCTCATCCATGGCCCTTGCCTTTTGCACCACAGCTTGTATAGATGATAAAGGAGGCACAGTGGGTGATAAACAGTTAATTTGCTTTCTTGAGGGAGGGAAAGGGTCAAAAGGCCGAGGAGAGTAAGTGCTAGCAGGCATGGTTGCAGCTGAAACAGTCTGATTTAAAAACAGGTTTTAAAAAGGTTTTTCCTGACTTAAAAATGGATTTGAGGAAGGATATAACTTCTCTTCCTTAACTTCTGAAGGTTCAGTTTTTCAGAATACAGGTAGGGGGTCCCATTCTGGTACAAAATCTTGGTTCCTTAATTTCCAATCACATTTACATTCACTCTATGACACTTAACATCCACTCAAAACTGTTGCACCGGTGCCATGCACACACACTTCTTACACACAAACAATTCAAGTAAAGTTGAATAAAAATAACAATGTTCTAGTTGTGGAGATGATTTCAATTAACGTTACTTATTAAGGATCACAATTTTAACTTCCTTGTCAGCTAGTAGCCAGACCAGTATGGGGGAGGGGGTTTGGACTAAGTTTCAATAATAATTCATAATTAATCCAAAAATAGTGAGATGATAGAAGTCAAAAGTAAGGATAAATTAAATGCCAAGAGATTTTTATCCCACACTACCAGTAACAGTATAAAAAAATAAAAAATAAAAAAGAATGAAACAATGTAAATTTCTAATATTAGAATATTGATTAGTCAGTTATTATAATTACTCCAACTTATACAAAGTCCTGACATGCCCAGAGCTGAATTTAATACCATAGTCCCCCTGTAGGGTAGTCTAAAATTATTTAATATACTTCAGAGAAGGGCCTTTTCCTTTACACATGAATTTCCCATATTTTTATAAGATGGCAGTAATGTATCTGCAATCATTTTCTTGAGTTGCCCAAGACTGTTATTCAACCAAATTGTTTACCTTAAAATTTTAAGGTCCTTTGAGTGGTCAAATCAATTGACTATTTATTTAAACTACAAAAATCCCAAGTTTTGGATAAAACCATTCAAGATTTCCTAAGAGGTTTTGGATGAAACGCTCAAACCTCTCAATCCAATACAATATTTCAGAATTGAAACTCATTTCTTGTATCAGTACAGTCCTGCAAAAAGAAACATATAAGTACATAACATAACCTAAGAGAAATTTTCTGTCCAGCTGTTCAATCAGTCGGGTGACAATCATAAGATCACAAGTTAAAAGGTTAGTCAAAGGTAAAGAAACAAGGAAGAGAATTAAGTGACAAAAACACCAAGTAAACAACATAAAAAAAAAAAAAAAATGGCAAAACACCTCCGATACTAGATTCCAATAAAGTTCGGTGCCAGACCAGGTTCTAGCAGAACAAAAGTCAAAAGTTCACCATACAAACACAATATAAACTTCACATAAACAAACTTACACCAAACACTTTAATGAATTCTAGTGGCGCTTCAACACAAAGCAGAGTATGTATGGCTGTGGAGGTTCTCTTAATTAAGGTTTTCAGCCAAAATCTCAACCTCCATCGTCCCAGCCCGAACCAGAGTGAAATACGTGTTAGGTTTCAGAAATATCAGGCACTCTTGAGAGGACAGAACAGAAACTCTAGTAAAACAAGGTCAGTTCACCAACGTTTTACTAGATCAGGCTCCAGGAAAACAAGTTTTCACTGGACAGAATTTTTATGCAGTGTCCTGGTGAGAAAGGTTGGAAAAAGTACCATCGTGTCCCATCCTTTCTCTCAACCAACAAGGAGACCGGTCTTACAGGTTTACAGGTTTACCTCCGGAGGAATCAGGTGTCTCAGGCCAAATCAGCCGAATTCCGTATCTCCAGGTGGACACCCTGTTGGGAAAGCAGAGTTCCAGGGCCCTGGAACGTCTTCAGGGGGCGCCTTCCCTAGAGGTCTTTTTCTCCCCCGGATGGTCACCCAGAGGAGGTGCTGGGACACAGTGGCTATCCCGGACGAGCCCCCAAATGTTATGGGTTCAATTTAAAATAATAGCCACTGTAATGTCCACTTTTGGGTAAAAGACATTTATTTAGGCTAGCCGACTTCCGGGAGCTGAAGCACGCTCCTATGCTTCAGTAATGGACCCAAATTTAAGTAGGTTTTATAAAGCAGGGAAGCAAGTGATAATACAAAAGCAGAAACTGCAGTTTCAAGGACTTAGTGTATGTGCTTTAGCACAGGCATTCATCAAGGAGTGAGGGGAGTTAGTTTTGTTAATTGCCTTAGAGTACATGCTCTAGCACTGGTCACCCCACAGTACATGCTCTAGCACAGGCATCCATTGAGGGGTGATGGGAACTAGTTCTGATAACCACGTCAGAGTACTTGCTCAAGCACAGGCATTCATTGAGGGGTGATTTAGCTGCTTTATGTGCCCAGGAGGGGAGAGAACAGAAGTTCGAAAGGGGCACCCCCTAACTCACCGGGTGTGGGGCAGGATGAGATGGTTACTTCAGCCTCATAAAATGGAGTTTTAGCAAGATATTGCCAGTCATAGCTGGACTTTACAAAATAGAGTTACAAAATGGAGTCACTTACTTCAAAACCATCCTTTATTGTTTGTCTCCTCTACAATATGTGAAGGAGTACATATGAAAGATTAACAAAGCCATGAAGGGAAGTATAATTCACCAAGTGTGTAAAATAATACCCTGTTCTGTCTGAGGGGTTGGGTGGGAGACAGGGATGGCAGGTCCCACCTCTAGTGCCTTGGTAGCAATGTTTTGAGCTAATTGCCTTTGGAGCTCTTAGGTTTTTTTTTTTTTTTTTTTTGATTACCAATTCTGCTATCTAATTCTCCCCTAGAGCTTGTTGCTCTGAATTGCTCCTCAGTGCCAAGTGCTTAATTTCTCTGATTTAATGGAGAAAGGTACAAGGGTTAAGTAAGCAAATGATTGAAGATATGCATTTGGGGGATGATTTTCCTCATCTCTAAAGTGGCTTACTAAGTGCAAACATTTCTACTGGCATCTTCACCTCTAATGGCATCTTAACTTGCCATTCCTTCTACAACACTAGTAGGTATCTCTGTCCCCTTTTGACTTTGTTTCAAGTACTTGTTAGTTAGAAATTCCCTGAAAATAAATGTCCTTCTTTACAACAATTTTGAATCTCTAATAGTATGCAGGGGATATGCTCTGATTCATTTTAAGAATTAAGTCACTGTTTAATGGGAAATTCCATTTACCATTACGGCAACATTTTAAAAAACTGCGTGTCATTTAGGCATCTTAGGGGAACAATGATGTCTTTTGTAATCCTCACAGAACTAAAGAGCAGCTAGAAGAGTTCAACATCAGAGTTACCATGGAAAAACAACAGGACAGCTCTTCACTTACAACTCTCCCAGCACCAGTCCCCCAGCCGCCTCGTGGTGGCAGTGTTAATACAAGTTTACCACACTGTGCAGATCATATTCTTGGAGGAAATGTGCTGTTCCCAGCTCAAGACTACAGACTTCAACTAACATCACAGAGACCAACGTGGCAGTGGTTTGTTACACTATATTTTTCCCTTGGGTTTCAGGTTTCTGATGTATTTTTCATTTTGTGTTTAATTTGGTGAATGAGTGAGCTATTGAATTGACTTGTACATGTTAAGGAAAGGTTATAATTGCCAGTGCAAGAGAAAGAGGGAAATTTCAATTTGTTGTTTCAACTTCTTATATTTCTCTTACTTTAAAGAAAAAAAATTATAATAAACTATTTCTCCATCTCTGATTCCCTTGTACTATCTGTTGAAGCAAGCTTTCACCACATGCATAACATTAAGCATTTATTATGCCTCTCACCATTGAATGATGTTTTACCTTGTCACCTGACACCATGGTAGTGCTGATAGACCACTGCATGTATATGATGCTAATTTTTAGTTCCAGATTTCACACTCTAATTGTGATACATTATGTCCTGTATAGCAAAACTAATTTTACAACATTAGGAGGTCCCAATCCATTGGTATATCATTATAAAATACAAAAGGTAAAATTGACGTGAACTAGATCACTAGTCGATTTTGGAGCGCACATAATTTTTTTGAATAATTCAAATTTAAAAATGTATTGCTGACAATTTTATAAAGATACAACTTTTCTTGTTTAAAAATTTTGTGTGCTCAAGGGCTTTCTCCCCCCTACACACACACTTTTTTTGTGGTGATAACATATACAACAAGAAATTCTCCAGAATAACAACATCCCCATTTACAGCTCAAGGACTTTGATGCCATTTTTCATGTT